CATTCCTGCCAAACAATTTGAAATGACATCTCTAGCAAAAAAGTCCTGCTTGTGCCATTGTCACTTCTGCTGGTGCCTTGGTTGTACAGAATAACAAATGTACAGAGACATTATGTATGTATGTATATATAAAAATTTATATCTTTTTTTACTTGGATTAAGCATTTTTTGTAATGAGAAAATCTCTTGCTGGGTAGGGGAAAAATGTAGAATTAAAATAGTAATTTTTATGTTCATAATAAAAAAAAATTTATCTCCTACAAGCAAAACTGGCTGAGTCCTTAAAGTTTCAGGAGTGGAAAAGCACCTGAATGGAGCCTGAGTGTGTGTTCTCTGGGGTCTGTGCAAAGTTCTCGCCAAGCAGTAGGATGTCTGTTTCTTCCATCTGCATCTCTTCCTTTCTCCACAGCAACACTTGGTAGCTGAGAAGGTTGGCAATTTTCCCACAAAAACTTTGATGTGTTAGAAATATGTTCAGTGAGGACAAAATGCCTTTTGAAATGCCATCAGTTTTGCAAAAGCTTTAAGTAGAAGGTTTCTCCAGCCGCAGGTGGAACAGGTGGTTGAGAAGGACTGCGGTATCATAGGTTGCTTACTTGCTTTTACGTCTGTCTTTTACACGTGTATTTTTCTTCTGATTAGAAAACCAAGACAGATGGAGGTGAAGTATGCAGTGTCAGCCATGAATACAAAGGTGAAGCCTTGAACAGCCATAAAGCCCGGGTCTTAAGACAGTACAATTGCCCGTGGGTCATACTCCCTCCTTCAAAAGATTGCACCAAAAGGGGCAACTGCAAATCAGCAAGAATATCCCTTTTTGACAGCTGCAACTATAAAGCAGTCTCTTGTGGTTGGGAGGGAAGGGGCCAACGTGCGTAGAAAAGACGGGTCGTGCGCAGCTGCTGTCATGCATATGTGAGAGCACTTGAAGACCAAAAATGGAAATTGGAAGAATGCATTTTGGTTTTACAGCTGAAATTGGGCTACAGGTGAAATTTGCTACAGAAACAGCTAAACAAGACCCAGAAAATTTGAAAGCCTGCAGTGTGGCTGGTAGTTATACTGACAATGGACGTTGCCTGCTCTTAGTTTTCCCCTGAGATTGAATCAAGCTTGTGATCAGACAGATCAAGTCTGTCTGTGAAGGTTTGTAAATAGTTACAGAAATCCCTAGGGTCTGGGTTGTACATTACAGAAACAAATTATAATGAACAGCAGCACCTTTCTGTTTCAGACTAAATTTATTTTTGTAGTCAGATTCTTAATTAGCAGCACGCTGCTTGCTCCTTGCTCGAGAATATCTTCATGTCAGTAGGGAAAAAGCTAGTAATGCAAAAGTATGTCTTGCAGGCCATCTGGTCTAAGCTGTCCCAGCACGGCCTCTTTCCCTAGGACGTTTGCTGTGTGCTACTTTAATATAGTTGCTGCCTGTGCACAACGCCATTATACTCTTTCTGAACATACCTGAGGGTAGCACAGTAACGGTGGCTGTGCCATGTACACCCCCATGTTTCTCAGCCCTCCGCAGGCTCTGGGCGAACCCCTGGGCCCAGCCTGGAGTGTCTGTTGGTGGTGAGGAGATGGTGGTGAGGAGGCCAGGGAAGGCAGGTGGCGGCTGAGGAGAAAATGGTGGAGGAGATGGGGCAGCAGCCAAGCTGCTCTCTAGCGGCAATAATTTGGCTCCTCTCCAGTGCCAGTGAGGGCTGGATTTTGGGGGGAAAAGTCCTCTGTGGTGAGGGAAGCCATGTTGGGGAGGGCAGTGAGGTGAGGTGTTTCCATGGCAACCCAGAGAAAATGGCCGCCAGCCCTGCCTGGGCCAAGGGGATGAGGGAAGCAGGGCTGAAGGGTGCTGCGTGTGGGACCCAGCGGCACCCAAACACCCGCAGAGGCAGCAGACACCTGTCACGATACCAGGTAAGCACAACTAGTGGCAAGACATGCCTCTTTTTTGTAAATGGTTTTATTTGGAGAGGCCGGGTAGTACAGATGAATGTCTTCATGAGTGGCTGAGAAGCAGAGGCGAGGCCTGGGCTGCCCTGCTGGAAGGGGAGGACGTGCGGCAGCAGCCCTGGCTCCTCAGCTGTAGTATAAACTCAGGTAGGCCACTCGGTCTCGGTGTTTCCTGAATTCTCTGTCTATGGTCAGCTAAAAGACAAGTACTATCCATTAGATATTAGCAACAACAATTGCTTCAGAAAAGTACATGAAGATCTAAGATGGTGTCAACAACCTTAACCTGTGTTTTAAATCAGAAAGTTTTTCTTTTCAGCAGAGCGACATGGGGAAGTCTGTGCTCTGGTTCTCTCACTTTGTGGATGGAAACTACCAGCACAAATTTCTTAATAGAAGGTTTTTTTGAAGGACTGTAACTGTTTTTGCAAACCAGCATTTTCTGATAGAAAAGCACTTTGTATCTCGTGGCCCAGGCTAGTAGAGCCACATACCCAGTAGGCCAGTGAGGAAAGGATGACAAAACATAGTGCAGACGCGTTGAAGTAATCATACAATTTCCTTTGTAAGAAGCATTGAGCCAGGAATAACGTCCCCTTAACCATGTCCTTACCTTTTGTACCTCCATTTTTAGCATCCTCTTTACTGGCATTGGCACTAAAGACCAGTCTGGAGACCCAAACTTCATCGGCCAAGTGATTTTTTTGTGTAATTGCTTGTCTGCTTTGTAAGTTCCAGGTCTAAGGAAGACAAGCACAAAATATCTCATTTCTGGAGCTGGTTTATGATGTTTGTAATACCAGAATTTACCAGCCCTATCTCAATGTATGGGAGAAATGCATGTTGTGGTATTCTAGTCATCACGCTAAGTTAAAGAATAAGGCAGGGGAGCTTTTTGAAGATAAAAAACATTACTGGGAACTCAGTTACCTATCCTATTTGTGTCTTAGTGTTTCTGACTGCTGGTACTCTGGCTTATTATTGAAAGTGTAAGAAAATGAGTTACATTACCCAGGGAAAAACTCTTTATCTGAAGGCTTATCCGGAAATCGTGGTGTCTGAATGGAAAATGGAGCATAGGCCGGCTGGCATTTTCTTTCTTTCTTCCAGAATGATTGGTACATTGCTGGGCTGGGAGTCACAGTCTGCAAGAGATAAAATCTCTGTATGGAAGATTTTGTTGTGCAAACCATTCCTACATGCTCAGATCAGCAGCCAGTTGGGCATTACAGACTCTCTGTTCAATGAATGCTTTTGGCTACTCTGATAGTGTAAAAAAATCAGAACAAGTCAATTATGCTCTCCCTACTCCTTACCCAGTGTGTCCTGCAATGTCTCTCCTAATATATTGTTATTCTAAAGAAGTTGGGCCAGAAAACGTAGTGTGTTTGGGTAGTATAGCTGAGCTCCCTCCCTGATTTTGCCTGAATATGTACATTTACATGTGTGTATGTGATAGAAAGGAATGTGTACGTACAAATGTGTGTGTCAGTGTTGCCAGAGCTCATATGATCAGTCATCGGTCTCTAGGCTTAACATCTCCCACTAAACTATGTGTAAGGAGATCTGTAGCTACTGTATATATTAAGTTGGAGGCAGCCCCAAGAAATGTGATCGAAACAGTCTATGTTGGGAACAGCCTACAAATTCTTGCAAAGCTGCAGCTCTGCCACTTAAAAGCATGCTTTTCTTACCTGTGGCTCTGGTATGAAACGCTGGGCTGTTCTTGCTCCTATCACATAGCCTTTCTTGCTCAGTGGTTTGTTTTCCAAAGAGTATCTGAGGCTGCTTCCCTACGATTCAAAAGCAGAAGCGTCTTACTGATATTTTAAAGACACCATTTGCATCAGGGGAAGGGCAGAAGTACATGAGCAGCAGATGTCATTCCTATTCTTCTAATTTCTCACTAATGTAGAGCGCAAGGGCAACTGGAGCTTTGAGGACTGGGACGTTTGGGAGGGGAATTTCTTTTTCTAGGTATATGTGGAGACCTTGTACAATGGATTTGCAGGGCAGGTGTGGGGGACTCCGTGTCTGGCTGGCCATGGTCCTATTGTTCCTGTAGTGTGTGTCTTCTGTGAAGGAAAAGCTCTGAGCACAAAAACTGAACAACTTACCTCTTGACTTAGGTAACAGCCTGGCCCAAGCGAAGGGGTTCCCCTGATGGCTATCAGCTGGATTCCCAGCCTGTCTGGGGCATGGTGGAGAGGGAACATTTTCCGCTCCTGACATGACCCAAATGAGATCCGCTTCTGTACATCTGTGAGATCAGGAGAGGGAAATAACAGTGGAGATGACCACTTGCTACTTTTATTCCTTTTTAAGTGTTTGCTGCTCCCTGAGGCCAACCATCTCCTTATATCCCAGATGGGAATTTCCCCTGACCCTGGATATTTGTTATTTGTGTCTGCCCTATGGATGCCTGTTCCTTCCTGCCACAAAGGCTTCTTTTGCCCCAGCTTGAGCAAAGAGTAGCTTAGCAGCCCAGTTGTGGGGAAGCCTGATGCCTCTGTGGGGCTGCGTGAGAAGGAAAGCCCTTATGCCCGTAGCCCTCCCCGGTGCATGCACCTCGCACAGCTCACCTCTCGGCTTCCACTCCGCTGCCATGCTGCCCTGCCAGACATCAGGATGTGTGTGTACTCCAGTTGCTATAGACACAGAGCAGGGGGTGCTAGAGGGAATGCTGGCGATGGCAGCGCCTGAAGGGTGCAGGGAAAAGAGAAGGATTAATAACATCCCTGTGCATTGCGCTGTGCTGGCTCCTACTCCGAGGAGCTGTTGTTTGCACACTGTAAGTCAGTAGGGAAGAGGTCTTTGGGGAAGGAGCCTACAGGTTGTGCTGTCAGGACCTGTCTCTGTGATCTCTCATGTGACACAGCCTGGTCCGCCCCGTTGTCTGCTCTCTCTGTTTTTCCGTGTGTCTGGCTGTCATGGTAGGGCAGCAAGAAACCCCTGGAAAACGCCATACCGGAATTATGGTATGTTAATTAAGTCCAGCTTGTGGATTCAGGCCCTTCCCTGAGCACAAGTGTGAGTATAATGCCAGAATCAGGGAGCATCAAAGTATTAAGAGTGGGATGGGCTGAAACAGTGAGTATTGTTGCTTTTGCAGAACACTTTATTTAATCATTCTTATTCCATGCAATTAGATCAGAGGGGTCTGTTTGCTGTAATAGCATTGACATCTTCATGGCCAGTTGCAGCAGGAGCAGCTGCTATCAAAGACGAGGCCATTCTGGCAGCTCTGCACAAAGGTTTCACCATCAATGCAGTTGTAGAAGCTGCTCTTGTTGGTTGGATCTGCATAGATGCCGTTGGCCTTGCCAGCACAGAAGTCACTAACACCAGAGCCCCCGCTTCCAGTTCCACATCCACCTGTAGTACAGGGAGCTTCAGTGACTGGAGAACTGGGCTGAGCTGGAGGCACGGAGTCTGAAATAAAAGCAGGAAAGAGCTTATTTTTGTGCTGACAGGCTCTCATTCCTCCCCACCCTCCATAGGCCCTGTAGCGGTGGGGTCAGCTATTACAGCATGTTCCCCCAAAGTCTGCCCTGGCTCTCACCAAGCCTTTGAAACTTCTGGACCCAGGTCCAAGTTTCAATCTCGCTCTTATATCTCAGGGGATATGGAGTGAAGGGATCTTTCCAGGGCAATCTCTGGTTGTGGCTTCCACAGAAAGTCCATATCCACCAAGGCTCCAGAGATAAAGGTTCATGGGTCTCTGAAGCCCTGCAGCAGCAGTGAGCTAGGGAGTCACCTTCAGGAAGCACACACTAGTCAAGCTACTCACCACCGTTTTGCAGACCAAGGCCGTTCTTTAGGGTGGTGATCAGGGGATATTTGCCTTCCTTGCAGAAAGTGCCAGTGAAGTCATCCATATCAAGGGCCCAAACCATAGCACCTCCAAAATTGTTCTTCTTCAGCCAGTCAACCTGTTCAGGAACAGGACAGAAATCCCAATTAGTCCTGGGACCTGCAACTGCAGAAGGCCTCCTACCTTATTATTAGCACAGACACACATCCCACCATACCTTGATGTTGAAGCTCTTGATGTTGTCATAGCCAACCCATTCGTTGCCTTTGTAAGCATAGGGCACATCCTGAGGGGCATCCCATGCCTGTGTGGCTCCCGAGCCCAGGAATGTGCAGATCTAGGAAAAAAAGGAGTGAGTGAAATGGAGAAGTTAGCAAGTACAAGTATCCTACAAAAAATGGCAGTTGGCATATTCCATGGGTCCATGAGTTAAAAATTCCTTTCTGCATAGTTTGAAGAGTGTTTGTGTTCTTGGTGGCCTAGGTGTGTAGGAGTACACATACCTCATAGTAAGCCAAGAATCCAGCCTGCTTTGTGTAAGGTCCAGCTGGCCCAGGTCCTGATGCTGGTGCCCCAACAGCAGTGTCAGATGGGTTTTGGAGGTTGAAGGTATGTCCATAGGTTGGAAATCCAACAAGGAGCTTCTCAGCTGGGGCACCATTGCTCTTCCAGTAGTTCATAGCATAATCCTGTAAAGAAAACACCACTTTTTAAGTCTGTGCCAGGATCTGTAGGCAGGAGGATGACTCCTTAAACTTCTGTTCACTGGTGTCATGATAATCATCTGTGACACAGTCTTGGAAAATATACTTACGACATTGAAGTAGATGAGGTCACCAGTGTCAGCTGGGCCTTCGTACAGAGGGCTGTTCTCCCCAGTGCTTCCATCCCAGGAGGCGTGGAAGTCATAAGTCATGACATGGAAGTAGTCCAAGTACCTGTGGAGAACATCGCTTGCAGCTATCTCCTGGCCTGTTCAGTCACCCAGACTTGATTCTTCCTTTAGTGCTGGCCATTTACCCCACCACATCTCTGGCCATGTCACCACTTTCTGCAAATCTGGGCTCTTCAAGACTTGTTTCAAGCTGGCCTTATAAGTGTTGGAGCCAATTCTCTCCTCCAGTGGAGGGAGGCAGAGGTCAAGGCAGAATAGGAATTGCACTGGTATTCTGGGAACAGAGAGATGTTCCCCGATGACTTTGAGCAGCCTGTTGTTACACTTCACTTTCTGAGGTGTCCCCTTTCCCACCAAACAAGTGCCACTCTCATAGCATTCTTACCTTATGCAAAAGAGTAGGGACCCCACATGCAATGAAGTTGGTTTCTGCCAGATAATGGCAGAGTTTTACTTAACTGCTTGAAGGAAGACAACTTAAGTCACAGAAATGATACCTGAGAGTTTGCTACTCACTTTCCAAGCTCAGGTATCTGGTAACCAGCCTGAATGGTGGAAAGTCCTGCAGCAACAGCAGCGGTGAGCATGAGACGGGGCTTGTTGACCTGTTCAGCTTCCTGCTCAAAGGCTGCCAGCATTTCCTGAGGCATGCCAAGAAACAGCTCTCACCATGGACTCTCTGGGCTGAGGCTTCGCAGCCAGAGCTCTGCAAAGCAGAGGGCTTGACCAAAAGCTTTTGTTTCAGCCTACCTTAACCAGGATGGTAAAGAGAGTCTTGTCCTGGTGTGGGCTGCCCCTGGCCCCAGGGTATTCCCAGTCAATGTCCAATCCATCAAATTGATATTGGCGCAGGAATTTGATGACGGACTTGATGAAGGTCTGGCGGTTCTCAGGAGTGGAAACCATTGTGGAGAACCTAGGGAAGCAGAGCAGGGCAGAGTTGGGTTTTGGTTGGTGCTTCTTTCCGCCTCTCCCTCCCCTTCCAGGGTGCCATTATGGGAAGGAGATAGTTTGAACTTACTTGGCTGTCCCAAAATTCCATCCTCCAATTGCCAAGAGGGTCTTCAGATTTCTGTTCCTGCAAAGGAAGGAACAGGAGCATGTTTTACTGCAAGTGTTTGGTGTAGCTGCCTTTGTAGGCCATGATCTTTTGGTGTGAAACCCGAAGAAAAGTCCGCAGCACACTGAGTCACTGTCACCATCCTCAGAGGACTGGTGCTGGCAGCCTGCCCTGCCCTCCCTATCACTGTCTGCCTTTTCTCCTTGGCATCCCTCGACCATGGATTGCACTGCCATTGTGCAGAGAACAGATGCTGAGTAACGGGGCAGGACCTGAGAGGGTACGTACTGGTTCTTCAAGCCGTTGAAGGATTTGTAAAGGGTCTCGTCATTCCATTCGTAAGTTGTGATCTCATTGTTGGACATCCCAGCAAAGGCATAGATCAGATGGTCACACAGGTACGGGTCGATGTTGTCAGGCATGAATCTTCCCAGGCCAGGCCTATACTGGGCCCAGTTGGTGAAGTAACATGTCAGCACATAGGCAGTGCCTGCAGAGAAATAGAGGAGGTGGGGTAGATCTGGACTGCTCTGAAGAGATACTAGTAACTTCAAGCAGAGTATCATAACTAGAGCTGATGAGAAATGATTGAGCAATGTTGCCTTGCAGGGTAAGGAGTCCAGAGAAAGTGAAGTAGGGTCAGTTATCCCTCTGAGAGCTGGCTCTCCAGGACAATAATGGATTTGTTTCCTTCCTACTTTGTTTCAGTAGATCAGTCAGTTTAGGAGCCTCTTGTACCCTTAAACTTTGGGTGTCTTCCCCAAACTGAATCTTTCTCCTTTACTGCCAAGTGAGGAAGATCCCCAGAAGGGATCTCTGGTGAAGTGTCTTGAAGGCAGAAGGCTATTTGCATGTTTGCTGTGCCACCTGTTTGACCTGCCTGTATATGCTGATGCTGAAAAGGGTTTGGTAGAGTTGTTTTTTCAGAAGAAAGCACATACCTATCGGGG